AAAAAGCATCCCTAGGGTATATGCCATTGAAAAATTATCCACCCAAAGAAGAATCATCCGGACGTGAAATGAGGCCTATTCAAGAAGAGACATATGAGGAGGCACTAGCCGAAGCAGAATCTGTGATAGCTGAAGACGTGCAAGTGTACTTAAAAGACAACGCAAAGAACTGGAAGAATCTTTCAATGAGCTTAGAGAATTCACTAAACTAGATAATCAGCTGGAGATTTGGACCTGAAGAAACAGCTCACAGAAGCCAATTCTAAAATCGATCGTTACAGTCAGGAACTCCGCCAAGTAACGGATGCGTACAACGAAGAAATAGAAAGAGTTCAAAAAAATTCTCAAAAGCGCAAGAATTTCATCGACTTGCAATACAGACTCGATTTTCTGGAAAAAATAATAAAAAGACTAAAAACATACGAGTCAGAAATAGAGATGCTGCGTACTCAACTGAAGAACCTAGGAAGATCAGAGAGCCCTAAACCATCTCTTGAAGCTCAAAATATTGAGTCAAAAAAGAAGGTTGCAGACTTAGAAGCTATGCTTGACGCTGAGTACGAAGATATGCAAGATTCTTTAAGTGCTGCTACACAAACTGATGTAACGATGTCACACATTGCTGAACTGCAAGATGAAATTGGCTTCCTAAAAGAACTTGAATCTAAACTGAGAAATGACGTAAAGAGTCTGATGGACGAGAGTAACCAACGTGAGGTCAACCACTCATTTAAAATCTCAGATATACGATGCCATAATGATTCTACTATAAAAGAGCTTCAGGATCAAATGGCTGAACTGGAATGCCAAAACGAAATCTGGATTATGAAAAGTGCCCCTCTTTATAACCCGTGAAATAGCCCTAGTTCTAATTAAATTTCAGTTCAAGCTTCCAAAATGACTTCCGACAATATTAAAGTAGCCACAAAGATCAGACCAATGATCCACCGCGAAGTAGCCGATGGTCTAGAGCGTCTTTGGAACGTAAGAGTAAACTGCATATGGGAAGCCGATGAAAGTAGTCGCCATGGAGAGGTTTATATATTCGACCATGTATTTAAGCAGGAATGTACAAATTCAGATGTATATGGATCTGTAGTAAAACCTTTAGTCGATTCCTTCATGGAAGGTTTCAATGCCACAATATTTGCATATGGCCAAACATCTTCTGGCAAAACACACACCATTTTGGGCAATAAAACAGATCCTGGGCTTTTCCAATTAGTATCCAATCAGTTATTCCAGCATGTGGCAGACCAGGTTGATAAGAGGTACTTGATTAGATGCAGTTATATTGAAATCTACAATGAAAAGATCAATGACCTCCTGGATAAGAGCAATCAGGGTTTAACTATAAGAGAAGATATCAAAGGAAATGTGCTGCTTGATGCAAGGGAAGCTGTCGTAGACAATGTTGATAAAGTTATGGAGAACATGATGCAGGGCAATAAGATCAGACGAGTTGCAGCTACTCGCATGAATGAGAGGTCATCTCGATCACACACGATTTTCCGGATTATTCTGGAGTCGAAAGATGCCAATCAGAAAGATGGACCTGTACATATAAGCTACCTTAACTTAATGGACTTAGCTGGTTCTGAGAGAGTTTCTCTGACGAAAGCTGCTGGTGAGCGTCTTAAAGAGGGGGCTAACATAAACAAATCTTTGTCAGTATTAGGAAATGTGATAAGGCAACTAAGCGAGGGGAAGGAGTTTCTTGGCGGTAATGCCAAATCATTGATTATCGGGAATGTTACTTTAGCTGCAGAGGAGGAGACTAGATCTACACCAGAATTCGCCCAAAGCACTAAAACTGTCAAAAATAAAACGAAAGTAAACATCTTGTCAGCTACAGAAGAGACACTTCAAGGATATCAGAACTTGACTCGCGATCTCGAAACTCGGCTCAAAAAGCAGGCAATTAAGCTAAAAGAGATGGATAAAAGCAAACAAGAGTATCTGCTCGAGATAGAAAGACTAAAAAACGGAAGTATCTATTGTCGGGCGCTTTCAAATGGGAGCCTCGGCATCAACACCGAAAAAAACATTAAGACGTCATACTTTTGGACACTATGGCAACGTATCACCTAAAAAAGCATCCCTAGGGTATATGCCATTGAAAATTATCCACCCAAGAAGAATCATCCGGACGTGAAATGAGGCCTATTCAAGAAGAGACATATGAGGAGGCACTAGCCGAAGCAGAATCTGTGATAGCTGAAGTCGTGCAAGTGTACTTAAAAGACAACTCAAAGAACTGGAAGAATCTTTCAATGAGCTTAGAGAATTCACTAAACTAGATAATCAGCTGGAGATTTTGGACCTGAAGAAACAGCTCACAGAAGCCAATTCTAAATTCGATCGTTACAGTCAGGAACTCCGCCAAGTAACGGATGCGTACAACGAAGAAATAGAAAGAGTTCAAAAAAATTCTCAAAAAGCGCAAGAATTTCATCGACTTGCAATACAGACTCGATTTTCTGGAAAAAATAATAAAAAGACTAAAAACATACGAGTCAGAAATAGAGATGCTGCGTACTCAACTGAAGAACCTAGGAAGATCAGAGAGCCCTAAACCATCTCTTGAAGCTCAAAATATTGAGTCAAAAAAGAAGGTGCAGACTTAGAAGCTATGCTTGACGCTGAGTACGAAGATATGCAACATTCTTTAAGTGCTGCTGCACAAACTGATGTGACGATGTCACACATTGCTGAACTGCAAGATGAAATTGGCTTCCTAAAAGAACTTGAATCTAAACTGAGAAATGACGTAAAGAGTCCTGATGGACGAGAGTAACCAACGTGAGGTCAACCACTCATTTAAAATCTCAGATATACGATGCCATAATGATTCTACTATAAAAGAGCTTCAGGATCAAATGGCTGAACTGGAATGCCAAAACGAAATCTGGATTATGAAAAAGGACGACGAAATCAGAAAATTGCAACAACTAATTACAAACCCGAAGCAGGCTGGCACTTAACCAGAACCACCTGTGCAGGAAGACGTTGCATTTTATAGGGAGCAAGTTGAGTTCTCCCAGAACATGTACAAAAATGAGATAATAGGTGGAGAGTTACGTATAAACCATAGAGAAAATCTTCAGGCAGTTAAACTAGAAATATGTCTACCCTTGTTTAGTGTTTACGATTATTGCAGGGTTTGGACAAAGTTTAGGGCTGATCCCAGTGCTCACAGTGTACAATTTTCAGCTAATAAATCTTGAATTCTGAGGTAACAAAATCAACTAGAACTCTGAAAAAGTGATTTATCAGAAATCATGCCCTTACTTCCATGATAAGAGGGATTCGTAAAAATTATAAGCAGGTTGTGGCTTATTATCTAGTAAAAGATACAAGAATCCCAGATCTGAAAACGATTATTGTTCATGTGATCACAAACTAGCAGCGACTTGGTTTGTGCGTTGTTGGCACTATTTCTAATCAGGGCGCAACGATCAAAAACGCACTTGAGACGATTTGCTCGGAGAATACTCACGGATCAAGTCCATTCCATTTTATAGTCAATGCTCAGAGTATTTCTACAATTTGTGATGAACCACATTTATTCAAAAATGGATGAAATGCTCTTATTGACATTAATATGAAAGTGAAGAAGCTGCACAGATTGAACATGTCTAGAAATCATATAATGTTGATCAGCAAACAAGACCATACAAAGAGCTATGTAAATTGAAACCCAGCCACTTTGATTTTATAGATTCGTTCAAGAATATAGAAATTAATCCTTTAATGATATCGTCGGATGATTCGAGCTTTCTCAGTTATGTGGTGGGGGTCCCGTGGACTTCTCATACGGTATGAGCACGTATACCTCAAACCACAGTTTAATTTAAACATCACAATTGTTGGTTTGTTGACTTTGCGGTCAAATTTGATCCGAGGATGTCAGTTGCGTGTACGATTTGAACTTCCTTCACAATGGATTTTTTCGTTGTTGACGGATGAACAATACACTATAGACTACGCCGAGGACGACGCTGCTATCGATCAACCTGAACAACTTCCTATGGGCGACCTCGCTATGCCTATGGAAAAAACATGTACAATTGGTCAAAACGAGCGCCTGCAACTGGTCGATTATTACGCATTTACCTGAACTAAAGTCCGTGGCAACCAATTTGGAAAATAATAACCCTGTGACTCGAGAAATGCCGATAAATTTCTCCAAATACGTGAAATTTTCGAGACACTCATAGAGAACTGTCGAAATTGTTATATTTCGGGTGAGTCCCCTACAAAATACGAGATGCTCGTGGGCCGATGTCCTTCCTGAGCCTACAAGAAAACTAAACCGAATAAGTATGGACTGATGATGCAAAGACTCACCACTACCTGCTCAATGCTTTCGTCTATACGAACAGAAATATCACAGCAGATGACTGGTTCACGTCAGTAGAATTACATGTAGAATTGCGCATCAACCAACTGACCTATGTCGGCAGGAAGCGTAAAAATAAGTAACAAGTACCCCAACATGTAGTTCCAAATAAGAAGGAAACACAGCCAGGTACTTCTAAGTTTATGTTCACTAGCACTACAGCCTTAGTGTAGTATCTTCCAAAACCAAATACACATGTTCTCGTATAGCAATCTATGCAGCATGATAACAAAATAGTAGACTAATCAAAGAAACCTGATAAGATTCTATATTATTTTTATAACACTATGAAGGCGGGGGGTAATGCATTAGATCGGAAGTGTGTAAATTACAATACTGGTTAGAGAACGAGAAGATGGCCTTGTGCTATTTGGTATCCAACCAGCTTCTGTAAATTCCTTTTTTTTCAGTCTGGGACTGAAAGTTCTATTAGGCGACGAAATTTTTTTGTTCCCCTGAGGCAAACTCTAATTTAACTTCGTATGAGAGGACGTTTATCAGATCCAAGACTTCCTAGGGAGCTTCGTTCAGCCATGCAAAGAATCCAAAATTACCAACGACGAATAAAGTAAGCCGTCTACTTCTCAGCCCAGAGTTCTCGATCCTGATGCAGTTGATAAAGGGAAAAAACGACGTAGGTGTTACATGACAATACACAATGAAAAAAATGTTCTACAATCTGTAATAAGTATGTAAAGTCACAGCGCAGCTAGATTGTTTCGTGAAAAGTGATAAATGTGAATTATTGTACGTTTCCTTATACGGGAAAGTATTTCTTTTGTTGTAGAATATCAACACCAAATATGTGTTAAATGGCCCATTTTGTTAGTTTTTTTATGTTCATATTACAGTTCAAGTTTCGTAAATTATATTTATTGCATTACTCATCTTCAAATGGGGTATTTTCGTTTTTAGACAATAAACAGTTTTCATGTAAGAGTGTCTTATGCGTACAAACCTGTTGTACACATTGCTAAAAACAGTAATGGCATTTCAGAAGTTGATAGTAAGATCCGGTGGATAAACTGTTTTGCGAGATTAGAACACGAACCCCATCTGCTTATTTGCAGCATTAAAAACTGTAATAACCAACAATTTCAGTTTTCCATTGACAATAATGAAGAATTATGAAGGCGATTCATGTAAGGCACTAGGTAACTTCGCGTTGCTTTTAGAAGAGTATTGTCTGAATAGACAACAGTTACCTTGTGATTCTTCACCGAGCTGCATTTTTCAAGTTGAAAAATCGGGTGCTGGAAGTGATGGATCTATAGATTTGTGAGAATTTGCTGCTGCTTCAACTTCTTTTTGTAATAACAATAACAGTCTATAAGAAATTTAACAATTCTGTTTCTTCTTTGATTTTGAGTCACCCTGTAAATGTAGCTCTACTAAACTATCGGACCGCATTCATAGCCTACAAGAGAAAAAAATCTTCTATACTGGAAAGGAGGAAAAAAAGAATGTATCAACCTGATACATCTGCCCCTCTTTATAACCCGTGAAAAAGCCCTAGTCCTAATTAAATTTCAGTTCAAGCTTCCAAAATGACTTCCGACAATATTAAAGTAGCCATAAAGATCAGACCAATGATCCACCGCGAAGTAGCCGATGGTCTAGAGCGTCTTTGGAACGTAAGTGAAAACTGCATATGGGAAGCCAATGAAAGTAGTCGCCATGGAGAGGTTTATATATTCGACAATGTATTTAACCAGGAATGTACAAATTCAGATGTATATGGATTTGTAGTAAAACCTTTAGTCGATTCCTTCATGGAAGGTTTCAATGCAACAATATTTGCATATGGCCAAACATCTTCTGGCAAAACACACACCTTTTGGGCAATAAAACAGATCCTGGGCTTTTCCAATTAGTATCCAATCAGTTATTCCAGCATGTGGCAGACCAGGTTGATAAGAGGTACTTGATTAGATTCAGTTATATTGAAATCTACAATGAAAAGATCAATGACCTCCTGGATAAGAGCAATCAGGGTTTAACTATAAGAGAAGATATCAAACGTAATGTGCTGCTTGATGCAAGGGAAGCTGTCGTAGACAATGTTGATCAAGTTATGGAGAACATGATGCAGGGCAATAAGATCAGACGAGTTGCAGCTACTCGCATGAATGAGAGGTCATCTCGATCACACACGATTTTCCGGATTATTCTGGAGTCGAAAGATGCCAATCAGAAAGATGGACCTGTACATATAAGCTACCTTAACTTAATGGACTTGGCTGGTTCTGAGAGAGTTTCTCTGACGAAAGCTGCTGGTGAGCGTCTTGAAGAGGGGGCTAACATAAACAAATCTTTGTCAGTATTAGGAAATGTGATAAGGTAACTAAGCGGGGGGAAGGAGTTTATCAGTTATCGCGATTCGAAATTGACTAGACTGCTCTCACAGGCTCTTGGCGGTAATGCAAAATCATTGATTATCGGGAATGTTACTTTAGCTGCAGAGGAGGAGACTAGATCTATCTAGACTAGAATTCGCCCAAAACACTAAAACTGTCAAAAATAAACCGAAAGTAAACATCTTGTCAGCTACAGAAGAGGCACTTCAAGGATATCAGAACTTGACTCGCGATCTCGAAACTCGGCTCAAAAAGCAGGCAATTAAGCTAGAAGAGATGGAGAAAAGCAAACAAGAGTATCTGCTCGAGATAGAAAGACTAAAGACGGAAGTATCTATTGTCGGGCGCTTTCAAATGGGAGCCTCGGCATCAACACCGAAAAAAATATTAAGACGTCATACTTTTGGAGACTATGGCAACGTATCACCTAAAAAAGCATCACAAGGGTATATGCCATTGAAAAATTATCCACCCAAAGAAGAATCATCCGGACGTGAAATGAGGCCTATTCAAGAAGAGACATATGAGGAGGCACTAGCCGAAGCAGTATCTGTGATAGCTGAAGACGTGCCTGCAAGTGTACTTAAAAGACAACTCAAAGAACTGGAAGAATCTTTCAATGAGCTTAGAGAATTCACTAAACTAGATAATCAGCTGGAGATTTTGGACCTGAAGAAACAGCTCACAGAAGCCAATTCTAAAATCAATCGTTACAGTCAGAAACTCTGCCAAGTAACGGATGCGCACAATGAAGAAATAGAAAGGGTTCAAAAAAATTCTCAAAAAGCGCAAGAATTTCATCGACTTGCAATACAGACTCGATTTTCTGGAAAAAAATTATAAAAAGACTAAAAACATACGAGTCAGAAATAGAGATGCTGCGTACTCAACTGAAGAACATAGGAAGATCAGAGAGCCCTAAACTATCTCTTGAAGCTCAAAATATTGAGCCAAAAAAGAAGGTTGCAGACTTAGAAGCTATGCTTGACGCTGAGTACGAAGATATGCAAGATTCTTTAAGTGCTGCTACACAAACTGCTGTAACGATGTCACACATTGCTGAACTGCAAGATGAAATTGGCTTCCTAAAAGAACTTGAATCTAAACTGAGAAATGACATAAAGAGTCTGATGGACGAGAGTAACCAACGTGAGGTCAACCACTCTTTTAAAATCTCAGATATACGATGCCATAATGGTTCTATTATAAAAGAGCTTCAGGATCAAATGGCTGAACTGGAATGCCAAAACGAAATCTGGATTATGAAAAATGACGACGAAATCAGTAAATTGCAACAACTAATTACAAACCCGAAGCAGGCTGGCACTTAACCAGAACCACCTGTGCAGGAAGACGTTGCATTTTATAGGGCGCAAGTTGAGTTCTCCCAGAACATGTACAAAAATGAGATAATAGGTGGAGAGTTACGTATAAACCATAGAGAAAATCTTCAGGCAGTTAAACTAGAAATATGTCTACCCTTGTTTAGTGTTTACGATTATTGCAGGGTTTGGACAAAGTTTAGGGCTGATCCCACGGACCACGATAGCACCTAGGACTTAAGATTGTGAATCTAGTCTTGGTAACCGCTCACAGTGTACAATTTTCAGCTAATAAATCTTGAATTCTGAGGTAACAAAATCAACTAGAACTCTGTAAAAGTGATTTATCAAAAATCATGCCCTTACTTCCATGATAAGAGGAATTCGTAAAAATTATAAGCAGGTTGTGGCTTATTATCTAGTAAAAGATACAAGAATCCCAGATCTGAAAACGATTATTGTTCATGTGATCACAAACTTGCAGCGACTTGGTTTGTGCGTCGTTGGCACTATTTCTAATCAGGGCGCAACGATCAAAAACGCACTTGAGACGATTTGCTCGGAGAATACTGGCGGATCAAGTCCATTCCATTTTATAGTCAATGCTCAGAGTATTTCTACAATTTGTGATGAACCACATTTATTCAAAAATGGATGAAATGCTCTCATTGACATTAATATGAAAGTGAAGAAGCTGCACAGATTGAACATGTCTAGAAAGCATATAATGTTGATCAGCAAACAAGACCATACAAAGAGCTATTCGTTCAAGAATATAGAAATTAATCCTTTAATGGTATCGTCGGATGATTCGAGCTTTCTCAGTTATGTGGTGGGGGTCCCGTGACTTCTCATACGGTATAAGCACGTATACCTCAAACCACAGTTTAATTTAAACATCACAAGTGTTGGTTTGTTGACTTTGCGGTCAAATTTGATCCGAGGATGTCAGTTGCGTGTACGATTTGAACTTCCTTCACAATGGATTTTTTCGTTGTTGACGGATGAACAATACACCATAGACTACGCCGAGGACGACGCTGTTATCGATCAACCTGAACAACTTCCTATGGGCGACCTCGCTATGCTTATGGAAAAAACATGTACAATTGGTCAAAACGAGCGCCTGCAAATGGTCGATCCAGACGACAATATTATTACGCATTTACCTGAACTAAAGTCCGTGGCAACCAATTTGGAAAATAATAACCCTGTGACTCGAGAAATGCAGATAAATTAACACTCATAGAGAACTGTCGAAATTGTTATATTTCGGGTGAGTCCCCTACAAAATACGAGATGCTCGTGGGCCGATGTCCTTCCTGTGCCTACAAGAAAACTAAACCGAATAAGTTAGTATGGACTGATGATGCAAAGACTCACCACTACCTGCTCAATGCTTTCGTCTATACGAACAGAAATATCACACCAGATGACTGGTTCACGTCAGTAGAATTACATGTAGAATTGCGCATCAACCAACTGACCTATGTCGGCAGGAAGCGTAAAAATAAGTAACAAGTACCCCAACATGTAGTTCCAAATAAGAAGGAAACACAGCCAGGTACTTCTAAGTTTATGTTCACTAGCACTACAGCCTTAGTGTAGTATCTTCCAAAACCAAATACACATGTTCTCGTATGGCAATCTATGCAGCATGATAACAAAATAGTAGAGGAATCAAAGAAACCTGATAAGATTCTATATTATTTTTATAACACTATGAAGGCGGGGGGTAATGCATTAGATCGGAAGTGTGTAAATTACAATACTGGTTAGAGAACGAGAAGATGGCCTTGTGCTATTTGGTATCCAACCAGCTTCTGTAAATTCCTTTTTTTTTCAGTCTGGACTGAAAGTTCTATTAGGCGACAAAATTTTATTGTTCCCCTGAGGCAAACTCTAATTTAACTTCGTATGAGAGGACGTTTATCAGATTCAAGACTTCCTAGGGAGCTTCGTTCAGCCATGCAAAGAATCCTAAATTACCAACGACGAATAAAGTAAGCCGTCTACTTCTCAGCCCAGAGTTCTCGATCCTGATGCAGTTGTTAAAGGGAAAAAACGACGTAGGTGTTACATGACAATACACAATGAAAAAAATGTTCTACAATCTGTAATAAGTATGTAAAGTCACAGCGCAGCTACATTGTTTCGTGAAAAGTGATAAATGTGAATTATTGTACGTTTCCTTATACAAGAAAGTATTTGTTTTTGTTGTAGAATATCAACACCAAATATGTTGTTAGATGGCCCATTATGTTAGTTTTTTTATGTTCATATTACAGTTCAAGTTTCGTAAATTATATATTTATTACATTACTCATCTTCAAATGGGGTATTTTCGTTTTTAGACAATAAACAGTTTTCGTGTAAGAGTGTTTTATGCGTACAAACCTGTTGTACACATGGCTAAAACAGTAATGGCATTTCAGAAGTTGATAGTAAGATCCGGTGGATAACCTGTTTTGCGAGATTAGACGTGGGATTTCCAACACGAACCCCATCTGCTTATTTGCAGCATTAAAAACTGTAATAATCAACAATTTCAGTCTTCCATCGACAATAATGAAGAATTATGAATGCGATTCATGTAAGGCACTAGGTAACTTCGCGTTGCTTTTAGAAGAGTATTGTCTGAATAGACAACAGTTACCTTGTGATTCTTCACCGAGCTGCATTTTTCAAGTTGAAAAATCGGGTGCTGAAAGTGATGGATCTATAGATTTGTGAGAATTTGCTGCTGCTTCAACTTCTTTTTGTAATAACAATAACAGTCTATAAGAAATTTAACAATTCTGTTTCTTCTTTGATTTTGAGTCACCCTGTAAATGTAGCTCTACTAAACTATCGGACCGCATTCATAGCCTACAAGAGAAAAAAATCTTCTATACTGGAAAGGAGGAAAAAAGAATGTATCAACCTGATACATCTGCCCCTCTTTATAACCCGTGAAATAGCCCTAGTCCTAATTAAATTTCAGTTCAAGCTTCCAAAATGACTTCCGACAATATTAAAGTAGCCATAAAGATCAGACCAATGATCCACCGCGAAGTAGCCGATGGTCTAGAGCGTCTTTGGAACGTAAGTGAAAACTGCATATGGGAAGCCAATGAAAGTAGTCGCCATGGAGAGGTTTATATATTCGACAATGTATTTAACCAGGAATGTACAAATTCAGATGTATATGGATCTGTAGTAAAACCTTTAGTCGATTCCTTCATGGAAGGTTTCAATGCAACAATATTTGCATATGGCCAAACATCTTCTGGCAAAACACACACCATTTTGGGCAATAAAACAGATCCTGGGCTTTTCCAATTAGTATCCAATCAGTTATTCCAGCATGTGGCAGACCAGGTTGATAAGAGGTACTTGATTAGATTCAGTTATATTGAAATCTACAATGAAAAGATCAATGACCTCCTGGATAAGAGCAATCAGGGTTTAACTATAAGAGAAGATATCAAAGGAAATGTGCTGCTTGATGCAAGGGAAGCTGTCGTAGACAATGTTGATCAAGTTATGGAGAACATGATGCAGGGCAATAAGATCAGACGAGTTGCAGCTACTCGCATGAATGAGAGGTCATCTCGATCACACACGATTTTCCGGATTATTCTGGAGTCGAAAGATGCCAATCAAAAAGATGGACCTGTACATATAAGCTACCTTAACTTAATGGACTTAGCTGGTTCTGAGAGAGTTTCTCTGACGAAAGCTGCTGGTGAGCATCTTAAAGAGGGGGCTAACATAAACAAATCTTTGTCAGTATTAGGAAATGTGATAAGGCAACTAAGCGAGGGGAAGGAGTTTATCAGTTATCGCGATTCGAAATTGACTAGACTGCTCTCACAGGCTCTTGGCGGTAATGCCAAATCATTGATTATCGGGAATGTTACTTTAGCTTCAGAGGAGGAGACTAGATCTACACTAGAATTCGCCCAAAGCACTAAAACTGTCAAAACTAAACCGAAAGTAAACATCTTGTCAGCTACAGAAGAGGCACTTCAAGGATATCAGAACTTGACTCGCGATCTCGAAACTCGGCTCAAAAAGCAGGCAATTAAGCTAGAAGAGATGGAGAAAAGCAAACAAGAGTATCTGCTCGAGATAGAAAGACTAAAAACGGAAGTATCTATTGTCGGGCGCTTTCAAATGGGAGCCTCGGCATCAACACCGAAAAAAACATTAAGACGTCATACTTTTGGAGACTATGGCAACGTATCACCTAAAAAAGCATCCCTACGGTATATGCCATTGAAAAATTATCCACCCAAAGAAGAATCATCCGGACGTGAAATGAGGCCTATTCAAGAAGAGACATATGAGGAGGCACTAGCCGAAGCAGAATCTGTGATAGCTGAAGACGTGCCTGCAAGTGTACTTAAAAGACAACTCAAAGAACTGGAAGAATCTTTCAATGAGCTTAGAGAATTCACTAAACTAGATAATCAGCTGGAGATTTTGGACCTGAAGAAACAGCTCACAGAAGCCAATTCTAAAATCGATCGTTACAGTCAGGAAACTCCGCCAAGTAACGGATGCGTACAACTGAAGAAATAGAAAGGGTTCAAAAAAATTCTCAAAAAGCGCAAGAATTTCATCGACTTGCAATACAGACTCGATTTTCTGGAAAAACATTATAAAAAGACTAAAACATACGAGTCAGAAATAGAGATGCTGCGTACTCAACTGAAGAACCTAGGAAGATCAGAGAGCCCTAAACTATCTCTTGAAGCTCAAAATATGAGTCAAAAAGAAGGTTGCAGACTTAGAAGCTATGCTTGACGCTGAGTACGAAGATATGCAAGATTCTTTAAGTGCTGCTACACAAACTGATGTAACGATGTCACACATTGCTGAACTGCAAGATGAAATGGCTTCCTAAAAGAACTTGAATCTAAACTGAGAAATGACGTAAAGAGTCTGATGGACGAGAGTAATCAACGTGAGGTCAACCACTCATTTAAAATCTCAGATATACGATGCCATAATGATTCTACTATAAAAGAGCTTCAGGATCAAATGGCTGAACTGGAATGCCAAAACGAAATCTGGATTATGAAAAATGACGACGAAATCAGGTAAATTGCAACAACTAATTACAAACCCGAAGCAGGCTGGCACTTAACCAGAACCAGCTGTGCAGGAAGACGTTGCATTTTATAGGGAGCAAGTTGAGTTCTCCCAGAACATGTACAAAAATGAGATAATAGGTGGAGGGTTACGTATAAACCATAGAGAAAATCTTCAGGCAGTTAAACTAGAAATATGTCTACCCTTGTTTAGTGTTTACGATTATTGCAGGGTTTGGACAAAGTTTAGGGCTGATCCCAGTGCTCACAGTGTAACAATTTTCAGCTAATAAATCTTGAATTCTGAGGTAACAAAATCAACTAGAACTCTGTAAAAGTGATTTATCAGAATCATGCCCTTACTTCCATGATAAGAGGGATTCGTAAAAATTATAAGCAGGTTGTGGCTTATTATCTAGTAAAAGATACAAGAATCCCAGATCTGAAAACGATTATTGTCATGTGATCACAAACTGCAGCGACTTGGTTTGTGCGTCGTTGGCACTATTTGTAATCAGGGCGCAACGATCAAAAACGCACTTGAGACGATTTGCTCGGAGAATTCTCACGGATCAAGTCCATTCCATTTTATAGCAATGCTCAGAGTATTTCTACAATTTGTGATGAACCACATTTATTCAAAAATGGATGAAATGCTCTTATTGACATTAATATGAAAGTGAAGAAGCTGCACAGCTTGAACATGTCTAGAAAGCATATAATGTTGATCAGCAAACAAGACCATACAAAGAGCTATGTAAATTGAAACCCAGCCACTTTGATTTTATAGATTCGTTAAGAATATAGAAATTAATCCTTTAATGGTATCGTCGGATGATTCGAGCTTTCTCAGTTATGTGGTGGGGGTCCCGTGACTTCTCATACGGTATAAGCACGTATACCTCAAACCACAGTTTAATTTAAACATCACAATTGTTGGTTTGTTGACTTTGGTCAAATTGATCCGAGGATGTCAGTGCGTGTACGATTTGAACTTCCTTCACAATGGATTTTTTCGTTGTTGACGGATGAACAATACACCATAGGTCAAAACGAGCGCCTGCAACTGGTCGATTATTACGCATTTACCTGAACTAAAGTCCGTGGCAACCAATTTGGAAAATAATAACCCTGTGACTCGAGAAATGCCGATAAATTTCTCCAAATACGTGAAATTTTCGAGACACTCATAGAGAACTGTCGAAATTGTTATATTTCGGGTGAGTCCCCTACAAAATACGAGATGCTCGTGGGCCGATGTCCTTCCTGTGCCTACAAGAAAACTAAACCGAATAAGTATGGACTGATGATGCAAAGACTCACCACTACCTGCTCAATGCTTTCGTCTATACGAACAGAAATATCACAGCAGATGACTGGTTCACGTCAGTAGAATTACATGTAGAATTGCGAATCAACCAACTGACCTATGTCGGCAGGAAGCGTAAAATAAGTAACACGTACCCCAACATGTAGTTCCAAATATGAAGGAAACACAGCCAGGTACTTCTAAGTTTATGTTCACTAGCACTACAGCCTTAGGAGTAGATCTTCCAAAACCAAATACACATGTTCTCGTATAGCAATCTATGCAGCATGATAACAAAATAGTAGAGGAATCAAAGAAACCTGATAAGATCCTATATTATTTTTATAACACTATGAAGGCGGGGGGTAATGCATTAGATCGGAAGTGTGTAAATTACAATACTGGTTAGAGAACGAGAAGATGGCCTTGTGCTATTTGGTATCCAACCAGCTTCTGTAAATTCCTTTTTTTTTCAGTCTGGGACTGAAAGTTCAATTAGGCGACGAAATTTTATTGTTCCCCTGAGGCAAACTCTAATTTAACTTCGTATGAGAGGACGTTTATCAGATCCAAGACTTCCTAGGGAGCTTCGTTCAGCCATGCAAAGAATCCTAAATTACCAACGACGAATAAAGTAAGCCGTTCTACTTCTCAGCCCAGAGTTCTCGATCCTGATGCAGTTGTTAAGAAAAAAACGACGTAGGTGTTACATGACAATACACAATGAAAAAAATGTTCTACAATCTGTAATAAGTATGTAAAGTCACAGCGCACTTACATTGTTTCGTGAAAAGTGATAAATGTTAATTATTGTATGTTTCCTTATACGAGAAAGTATTTGTTTTTGTGTAGAATATCAACACCAAATATGTTGTTAAATGGCCCATTTTGTTAGTTTTTTTTATGTTCATATTACAGTTCAAGTTTCGAGGATATATTTATTGCATTACTCATCTTCAATGGGGTATTTTCGTTTTTAGACAATAAACAGTTTCATGTAAGAGTGTCTTATGCGTACAAACCTGTTGTACACATGGCTAAAAACAGTAATGGCATTTCAGATGTTGATAGTAAGATCCGGTGGATAACCTGTTTTGCGAGATTAGACGTGGGATTTCCAACACGAACACCATCTGTTTATTTGAAGCATTAAAAACTGTAATAATCAACAATTTCAGTTTTCCATTGACAATAATGAAGAATTATGAAGGCGATTCATGTAAGGCACTAGGTAACTTCGCGTTGCTTTTAGAAGAGTATTGTCTGAATAGACAACAGTTACCTTGTGATTCTTCACCGAGCTGCATTTTCAAGTTGAAAAATCGGGTGATGAAAGTGATGGATCTATAGATTTGTGAGAATTTGCTGCTGCTTAAACTTCTTTTTGTAATAACAATAACAGTCTATATGAAATTTAACAATTCTGTTTCTTCTTTGATTTTGAGTCACCCTGTAAATGTAGCTCTACTAAACTATCGGACCGCATTCATAGCCTACAAGAGAAAAATCTTCTATACTGGAAAGGAGGAAAAAAAGAATGTATCAACCTGATACATCTGCACCTCTTTATAACCCGTGAAATAGCCCTAGTTCTAATTAAATTTCAGTTCAAGCTTCCAAAATGACTTCCAACAATATTAAAGTAGCCACAAAGATCAGACCAATGATCCACCGCGAAGTAGCCGATGGTCTAGAGCGTCTTTGGAACGTAAGAGTAAACTGCATATGGGAAGCCGATGAAGTAGTCGCCATGGAGAGGTTTATATATTCGACCATGTATTTAATCAGGAATGTACAAATTCAGATGTATATGGATCTGTAGTAAAACCTTTAGTCGATTCCTTCATGGAAGGTTTCAATGCCACAATATTTGCATATGGCCAAACATCTTCTGGCAAAACACACACCATTTTGGGCAATAAAACAGATCCTGGGCTTTTCCAATTAGTATCCAATCAGTTATTCCAGCATGTGGCAGACCAGGTTGATAAGAGGTACTTGATTAGATGCAGTTATATTGAATCTACAATGAAAAGATCAATGACCTCCTGGATAAGAGCAATCAGGGTTTAACTATGAGAAGATATCAAAGGAAATGTGCTGCTTGATGCAAGGGAAGCTGTCGTAGACAATGTTGATAAAGTTATGGAGAACATGATGCAGGGCAATAAGATCAGACGAGTTGCAGCTACTCGCATGAATGAGAGGTCATCTCGATCACACACGATTTTCCGGATTATTTGGAGTCGAAAGATGCCAATCAGAAAGATGGACCTGTACATATAAGCTACCTTAACTTAATGGACTTAGCTGGTTCTGAGAGAGTTTCTCTGACGAAAGCTGCTGGTGAGCGTCTTAAAGAGGGGGCTAACATAAACAAATCTTTGTCAGTATTAGGAAATGTGATAAGGCAACTAAGCGAGGGAAGGAGTTTATCAGTTATCGCGATTCGAAATTGACTAGACTGCTCTCACAGGCTCTTGGCGGTAATGCCAAATCATTGATTATCGGGAATGTTACTTTAGCTGCAGAGGAGGAGACTAGATCTACACCAGAATTCGCCCAAAGCACTAAAACTGTCAAAAATAAAACGAAAGTAAACATCTTGTCAGCTACAGAAGAGACACTTCAAGGATATCAGAACTTGACTCGCGATCTCGAAACTCGGCTCAAAAAGCAGGCAATTAAGCTAAAGAGATGGATAAAAGCAAACAAGAGTATCTGCTCGAGATAGAAAGACTAAAAACGGAAGTATCTATTGTCGGGCGCTTTCAAATGGGAAGCCTCGGCATCAACACCGAAAAAAACATTAAGACGTCATACTTTTGGACACTATGGCAACGTATCACCTAAAAAAGCATCCCTAGGGTATATGCCATTGAAAAATTATCCACCCAAAGAAGAATCATCCGGACGTGAAATGAGGCCTATTCAAGAAGAGACATATGAGGAGGCACTAGCCGAAGCAGAATCTGTGATAGCTGAAGACGTGCAAGTGTACTTAAAAGACAACCGCAAAGAACTGGAAGAATCTTTCAATGAGCTTAGAGAATTCACTAAACTAGATAATCAGCTGGAGATTTTGGACCTGAAGAAACAGCTCACAGAAGCCAATTCTAAATCGATCGTTACAGTCAGGAACTCCGCCAAGTAACGGATGCGTACAACGAAGAAATAGAAAGAGTTCAAAAAAAATTCTCAAAAAGCGCAAGAATTTCATCGACTTGCAATACAGACTCGATTTTCTGGAAAAAAATAATAAAAAGACTAAAAACATACGAGTCAGAAATAGAGATGCTGCGTACTCAACTGAAGAACCTAGGAAGATCAGAGAGCCCTAAACCATCTCTTGAAGCTCAAAATATTGAGTCAAAAAGAAGGTTGCAGACTTAGAAGCTATGCTTGACGCTGAGTACGAAGATATGCAAGATTCTTTAAGTGCTGCTACACAAAACTGATGTAACGATGTCACACATTGCTGAACTGCAAGATGAAATGGCTTCCTAAAAGAACTTGAATCTAAACTGAGAAATGACGTAAAGAGTCTGATGGACGAGAGTAACCACGTGAGGTCAACCACTCATTTAAAATCTCAGATATACGATGCCATAATGATTCTACTATAAAGAGCTTCAGGATCAAATGGCTGAACTGGAATGCCAAAACGAAATCTGGATTATGAAAAGTGACCCTCTTTATAACCCGTGAAATAGCCCTAGTTCTAATTAAATTTCAGTTCAAGCTTCCAAAATGACTTCCGACAATATTAAAGTAGCCACAAAGATCAGACCAATGATCCACCGCGAAGTAGCCGATGGTCTAGAGCGTCTTTGGAACGTAAGAGTAAACTGCATATGGGAAGCCGATGATGAAAGTAGTCGCCATGGAGAGGTTTATATATTCGACCATGTATTTAAGCAGGAATGTACAAATTCAGATGTATATGGATCTGTAGTAAAACCTTTAGTCGATTCCTTCATGGAAGGTTTCAATGCCACAATATTTGCATATGGCCAAACATCTTCTGGCAAAACACACACCATTTTGGGCAATAAAACAGATCCTGGGCTTTTCCAATTAGTATCCAATCAGTTATTCCAGCATGTGGCAGACCAGGTTGATAAGAGGTACTTGATTAGATGCAGTTATATTGAAATCTACAATGAAAAGATCAATGACCTCCTGGATAAGAGCAATCAGGGTTTAACTATAAGAGAAGATATCAAAGGAAATGTGCTGCTTGATGCAAGGGAAGCTGTCGTAGACAATGTTGATAAAGTTATGGAGAACATGATGCAGGGCAATAAGATCAGACGAGTTGCAGCTACTCGCATGAATGAGAGGTCATCTCGATCACACACGATTTTCCGGATTATTCTGGAGTCGAAAGATGCCAATCAGAAAGATGGACCTGTACATATAAGCTACCTTAACTTAATGGACTTAGCTGGTTCTGAGAGAGTTTCTCTGACGAAAGCTGCTGGTGAGCGTCTTAAAGAGGGGGCTAACATAAACAAATCTTTGTCAGTATTAGGAAATGTGATAAGGCAACTAAGCGAGGGGAAGGAGTTTATCAGTTTATCGCGATTCGAAATTGACTAGACTGCTCTCACAGGCTCTTGGCGGTAATGCCAAATCATTGATTATCGGGAATGTTACTTTAGCTGCAGAGGAGGAGACTAGATCTACACCAGAATTCGCCCAAAAGCACTAAAACTGTCAAAAATAAAACGAAAGTAACATCTTGTCAGCTACAGAAGAGACACTTCAAGGATATCAGAACTTGACTCGCGATCTCGAAACTCGGCTCAAAAGCAGGCAATTAAGCTAAAAGAGATGGATAAAAGCAAACAAGAGTATCTGCTCGAGATAGAAAGACTAAAAACGGAAGTATCTATTGTCGGGCGCTTTCAAATGGGAGCCTCGGCATCAACACCGAAAAAAAACATTAAGACGTCATACTTTTGGACACTATGGCAACGTATCACCTAAAAAAGCATCCCTAGGGTATATGCCATTGAAAAATTATCCACCCAAAGAAGAATCATCCGGACGTGAAATGAGGCCTATTCAAGAAGAGACATATGAGGAGGCACTAGCCGAAGCAGAATCTGTGATAGCCTGAAGACGTGCAAGTGTACTTAAAAAGACAACTCAAAGAAACTGGAAGAATCTTTCAATGAGCTTAGAGAATTCACTAAACTAGATAATCAGCTGGAGATTTTGGCCCTGAAGAAGAAACAGCTCACAGAAGCCAATTCTAAATTCGATCGTTACAGTCAGGAACTCCGCCAAGTAACGGATGCGTACAACGAGAAATAGAAAGAGTTCAAAAAAATTCTCAAAAAGCGCAAGAATTTCATCGACTTGCAATACAGACTCGATTTTCTGGAAAAAATAATAAAAAGACTAAAAACATACGAGTCAGAAATAGAGATGCTGCGTACTCACTGAAGAACCTAGGAAGATCAGAGAGCCCTAAACCATCTTCTTGAAGCTCAAATATTGAGTCAAAAAGAAGGTTGCAGACTTAGAAGCTATGCTTGACGCTGAGTACGAAGATATGCAACATTCTTTAAGTGCTGCTGCACAAACTGATGTAACGATGTCACACATTGCTGAACTGCAAGATGAAATTGGCTTCCTAAAAGAACTTGAATCTAAACTGAGAAATGACGTAAAGAGTCTGATGGACGAGAGTAACCAACGTGAGGTCAACCACTCATTTAAAATCTCAGATATACGATGCCATAATGATTCTACTATAAAAGAGCTTCAGGATCAAATGGCTGAACTGGAATGCCAAAACGAAATCTGGATTATGAAAAAGGTCGAACGAAATCAGAAAATTGCAACAACTATTACAAACCCGAAGCAGGCTGGCACTTAACCAGAACCACCTGTGCAGGAAGACGTTGCATTTTATAGGAGCAAGTTGAGTTCTCCCAGAACATGTACAAAAATGAGATAATAGGTGGAGAGTTACGTATAAACCATAGAGAAAAACTTCAGGCAGTTAAACTAGAAATATGTCTACCCTTGTTTAGTGTTTACGATTATTGCAGGGTTTGGACAAAGTTTAGGGCTGATCCCAGTGCTCACAGTGTACAATTTTCAGCTGATAAATCTTGAATTCTGATGTAACAAAATCAACTAGAACTCTGAAAAGTGATTTATCAGAAATCATGCCCTTACTTCCATGATAAGAGGGATTCGTAAAAATTATAAGCAGGTTGTGGCTTATTATCTAGTAAAAGATACAAGAATCCCAGATCTGAAAACGAGTATTGTTCATGTGATCACAAACTAGCAGGCGACTGGTTTGTGCGTTGTTGGCACTATTTCTAATCAGGGCGCGCAACGATCAAAAACGCACTTGAGACGATTTGCTCGGAGAATACTCACGGATCAAGTCCATTCCATTTTATAGTCAATGCTCAGAGTAGTTCTACAATTTGTGATGAACCACATTTATTCAAAAATGGATGAAAATGCTCTTATTGACATTAATATGAAAGTGAAGAAGCTGCACAGATTGAACATGTCTAGAAATCATATAATGTTGATCAGCAAACAAGACCATACAAAGAGCTATGTAAATTGAAACCAGCCACTTTGATTTTATAGATTCGTTCAAGAATATAGAAATTAATCCTTTAATGATATCGTCGGATGATTCGAGCTTTCTCAGTTTATGTGGTGGGGGTCCCGTGACTTCTCATACGGTATGAGCACGTATACCTCAAACCACAGTTTAATTTAAACATCACAATGTTGGTTTGTGACTTTGCGGTCAAATTTGATCCGAGGATGTCAGTTGCGTGTCGATTTGAACTTCCTTCACAATGGATTTTTTCGTTGTTGACGGATGAACAATACACTATAGACTTACGCCGAGGACGACGCTGCTATCGATCAACCTGAACAACTTCCTATGGGCGACCTCGCTATGCCTATGGAAAAAACATGTACAATTGGTCAAAACGAGCGCCTGCAACTGGTCGATTATTACGCATTTACCTGAACTAAAGTCCGTGGCAACCAATCTGGAAAATAATAACCCTGTGACTCGAGAAATGCCGATAAATTTCTCCAAATACGTGAAATTTTCGAGACACTCATAGAGAACTGTCGAAATTGTTATATTTCGGGTGAGTCCCCTACAAAATACGAGATGCTCGTGGGCCGATGTCCTTCCTGTGCCTACAAGAAAACTAAACCGAATAAGTATGGACTGATGATGCAAAGACTCACCACTACCTGCTCAATGCTTTCGTCTATACGAACAGAAATATCACAGCAGATGACTGGTTCACGTCAGTAGAATTACATGTAGAATTGCGCATCAACCAACTGACCTATGTCGGCAGGAAGCGTAAAAATAAGTAACAAGTACCCCAACATGTAGTTCCAAATAAGAAGGAAACACAGCCAGGTACTTCTAAGTTTATGTTGTACAGCCTTAGAGTAGTATCTTCCAAAACCAAATACACATGTTCTCGTATAGCAATCTATGCAGCATGATAACAAAATAGTAGAGGAATCAAAGAAACCTGATAAGATTCTATATTATTTTTATAACACTATGAAGGCGGGGGTAATGCATTAGATCGGAAGTGTGTAAATTACAATACTGGTTAGAGAACGAGAAGATGGCCTTGTGCTATTTGGTATCCAACCAGCTTCTGTAAATTCCTTTTTTTCAGTCTGGGACTGAAAGTTCTATTAGGCGACGAAATTTTATTGTTCCCTGAGGCAAACTCTAATTTAACTTCGTATGAGAGGACGTTTATCAGATCCAAGACTTCCTAGGGAGCTTCGTTCAGCCATGCAAAGAATCCAAAATTACCAACGACGAATAAAGTAAGCCGTCTACTTCTCAGCCCAGAGTTCTCGATCCTGATGCAGTTGATAAAGGGAAAAACGAGCGTAGGTGTTACATGACAATACACAATGAAAAAAATGTTCTACAATCTGTAATAAGTATGCAAAGTCACAGAGCAGCTACATTGTTTCGTGAAAAGTGATAAATGTGAATTATTGTACGTTTCCTTATACGAGAAAGTATTTGTTTTTGTTGTAGAATATCAACACCAAATATGTTGTTAAATGGCCCATTTTGTTAGTTTTTTTATGTTCATATTACAGTTCAAGTTCGTAAATTATATTTGTTGCATTACTCATCTTCAAATGGGGTATTTTCGTTTTTAGACAATAAACAGTTTTCATGTAAGAGTGTTTTATGCGTACAAACTGTTGTACACATGGCTAAAAACAGTAATGGCATTTCAGAAGTTGATAGTAAGATCCGGTGGATAACCTGTTTTGCGAGATTAGACGTGGGATTCCAACACGAACCCATCTGCTTATTTGCAGCATTAAAAACTGTAATAATCAACAATTTCAGTTTTCCATTGACAATAATGAAGAATTATGAAGGCAATTCATGTAAGGCACTAGGTAACTTCGCGTTGCTTTTAGAAGAGTATTGTCTGAATAGACAACAGTTACCTTGTGATTCTTCACCGAGCTGCATTTTTCAAGTTGAAAAATCGGGTGCTGAAAGTGATGGATCTATAGATTTGTGAGAATTTGCTGCTGCTTCAACTTCTTTTTGTAATAACAATAACAGTCTATATGAAATTTAACAATTCTGTTTCTTCTTTGATTTTGAGTCACCCTGTAAATGTAGCTCTACTAAACTATCGGACCGCATTCATAGCCTACAAGAGAAAAAAATCTTCTATACTGGAAAGGAGGAAAAAAAGAATGTATCAACCTGATACATCTGCCCCTCTTTATAACCCGTGAAATAGCCCTAGTTCTAATTAAATTTCAGTTCAAGCTTCCAAATGACTTCCAACAATATTAAAGTAGCCATAAAGATCAGACCAATGATCCACCGCGAAGTAGCCGATGGTCTAGAGCGTCTTTGGAACGTAAGAGCAAACTGCATATGGGAAGCCGATGAAAGTAGTCGCATGGAGAGGTTTATATATCGACCATGTATTTAATCAGGAATGTACAAATTCAGATGTATATGGATCTGTAGTAAACCTTTAGTCGATTCCTTCATGGAAGGTTTCAATGCCACAATATTTGCATATGGCCAAACATCTTCTGGCAAAACACACACCATTTTGGGCAATAAAACAGATCCTGGGCTTTTCCAATTAGTATCCAATCAGTTATTCCAGCATGTGGCAGACCAGGTTGATAAGAGGTACTTGATTAGATGCAGTTATATTGAAATCTACAATGAAAAGATCAATGACCTCCTGGATAAGAGCAATCAGGGTTTAACTATGAGAAGATATCAAAGGAAATGTGCTGCTTGATGCAAGGGAAGCTGTCGTAGACAATGTTGATAAAGTTATGGAGAACATGATGCAGGGCAATAAGATCAGACGAGTTGCAGCTACTCGCATGAATGAGAGGTCATCTCGATCACACACGATTTTCCGGATTATTCTGGAGTCGAAAGATGCCAATCAGAAAGATGGACCTGTACATATAAGCTACCTTAACTTAATGGACTTAGCTGGTTCTGAGAGAGTTTCTCTGACGAAAGCTGCTGGTGAGCGTCTTAAAGAGGGGGCTAACATAAACAAATCTTTGTCAGTATTAGGAAATGTGATAAGGCAACTAAGCGAGGGGAAGGAGTTTATCAGTTATCGCGATTCGAAATTGACTAGACTGCTCTCACAGGCTCTTGGCGGTAATGCCAAATCATTGATTATCGGGAATGTTACTTTAGCTGCAGAGGAGGAGACTAGATCTACACCAGAATTCGCCCAAAGCACTAAAACTGTCAAAAATAAAACGAAAGTAAACATCTTGTCAGCTACAGAAGAGACACTTCAAGGATATCAGAACTTGACTCGCGATCTCGAAACTCGGCTCAAAAAGCAGGCAATTAAGCTAAAAGAGATGGATAAAAGCAAACAAGAGTATCTGCTCGAGATAGAAAGACTAAAAACGGAAGTATCTATTGTCGGGCGCTTTCAAATGGGAGCCTCGGCATCAACACCGAAAAAAACATTAAGACGTCATACTTTTGGACACTATGGCAACGTATCACCTAAAAAAGCATCCCTAGGGTATATGCCATTGAAAAATTATCCACCCAAAGAAGAATCATCCGGACGTGAAATGAGGCCTATTCAAGAAGAGACATATGAGGAGGCACTAGCCGAAGCAGAATCTGTGATAGCTGAAGACGTGCAAGTGTACTTAAAAGACAACGCAAAGAACTGGAAGAATCTTTCAATGAGCTTAGAGAATTCACTAAACTAGATAATCAGCTGGAGATTTTGGACCTGAAGAAACAGCTCACAGAAGCCAATTCTAAAATCGATCGTTACAGTCAGGAACTCCGCCAAGTAACGGATGCGTACAACGAAGAAATAGAAAGAGTTCAAAAAAATTCTCAAAAAGCGCAAGAATTTCATCGACTTGCAATACAGACTCGATTTTCTGGAAAAAAATAATAAAAAGACTAAAAACATACGAGTCAGAAATAGAGATGCTGCGTACTCAACTGAAGAACCTAGGAAGATCAGAGAGCCCTAAACCATCTCTTGAAGCTCAAAATATTGAGTCAAAAAAGAAGGTTGCAGACTTAGAAGCTATGCTTGACGCTGAGTACGAAGATATGCAAGATTCTTTAAGTGCTGCTACACAAACTGATGTAACGATGTCACACATTGCTGAACTGCAAGATGAAATTGGCTTCCTAAAAGAACTTGAATCTAAACTGAGAAATGACGTAAAGAGTCTGATGGACGAGAGTAACCAACGTGAGGTCAACCACTCATTTAAAATCTCAGATATACGATGCCATAATGATTCTACTATAAAAGAGCTTCAGGATCAAATGGCTGAACTGGAATGCCAAAACGAAATCTGGATTATGAAAAGTGCCCCTCTTTATAACCCGTGAAATAGCCCTAGTTCTAATTAAATTTCAGTTCAAGCTTCCAAAATGACTTCCGACAATATTAAAGTAGCCACAAAGATCAGACCAATGATCCACCGCGAAGTAGCCGATGGTCTAGAGCGTCTTTGGAACGTAAGAGTAAACTGCATATGGGAAGCCGATGAAAGTAGTCGCCATGGAGAGGTTTATATTCGACCATGTATTTAAGCAGGAATGTACAAATTCAGATGTATATGGATCTGTAGTAAAACCTTTAGTCGATTCCTTCATGGAAGGTTTCAATGCCACAATATTTGCATATGGCCAAACATCTTCTGGCAAAACACACACCATTTTGGGCAATAAAACAGATCCTGGGCTTTTCCAATTAGTATCCAATCAGTTATTCCAGCATGTGGCAGACCAGGTTGATAAGAGGTACTTGATTAGATGCAGTTATATTGAAATCTACAATGAAAAGATCAATGACCTCCTGGATAAGAGCAATCAGGGTTTAACTATAAGAGAAGATATCAAAGGAAATGTGCTGCTTGATGCAAGGGAAGCTGTCGTAGACAATGTTGATAAAGTTATGGAGAACATGATGCAGGGCAATAAGATCAGACGAGTTGCAGCTACTCGCATGAATGAGAGGTCATCTCGATCACACACGATTTTCCGGATTATTCTGGAGTCGAAAGATGCCAATCAGAAAGATGGACCTGTACATATAAGCTACCTTAACTTAATGGACTTAGCTGGTTCTGAGAGAGTTTCTCTGACGAAAGCTGCTGGTGAGCGTCTTAAAGAGGGGGCTAACATAAACAAATCTTTGTCAGTATTAGGAAATGTGATAAGGCAACTAAGCGAGGGGAAGGAGTTTATCAGTTATCGCGATTCGAAATTGACTAGACTGCTCTCACAGGCTCTTGGCGGTAATGCCAAATCATTGATTATCGGGAATGTTACTTTAGCTGCAGAGGAGGAGACTAGATCTACACCAGAATTCGCCCAAAGCACTAAAACTGTCAAAAATAAAACGAAAGTAAACATCTTGTCAGCTACAGAAGAGACACTTCAAGGATATCAGAACTTGACTCGCGATCTCGAAACTCGGCTCAAAAAGCAGGCAATTAAGCTAAAAGAGATGGATAAAAGCAAACAAGAGTATCTGCTCGAGATAGAAAGACTAAAAACGGAAGTATCTATTGTCGGGCGCTTTCAAATGGGAGCCTCGGCATCAACACCGAAAAAAACATTAAGACGTCATACTTTTGGACACTATGGCAACGTATCACCTAAAAAAGCATCCCTAGGGTATATGCCATTGAAAAATTATCCACCCAAAGAAGAATCATCCGGACGTGAAATGAGGCCTATTCAAGAAGAGACATATGAGGAGGCACTAGCCGAAGCAGAATCTGTGATAGCTGAAGACGTGCAAGTGTACTTAAAAGACAACTCAAAGAACTGGAAGAATCTTTCAATGAGCTTAGAGAATTCACTAAACTAGATAATCAGCTGGAGATTTTGGACCTGAAGAAACAGCTCACAGAAGCCAATTCTAAATTCGATCGTTACAGTCAGGAACTCCGCCAAGTAACGGATGCGTACAACGAAGAAATAGAAAGAGTTCAAAAAAATTCTCAAAAAGCGCAAGAATTTCATCGACTTGCAATACAGACTCGATTTTCTGGAAAAAATAATAAAAGACTAAAAACATACGAGTCAGAAATAGAGATGCTGCGTACTCAACTGAAGAACCTAGGAAGATCAGAGAGCCCTAAACCATCTCTTGAAGCTCAAAATATTGAGTCAAAAAAGAAGGTTGCAGACTTAGAAGCTATGCTTGACGCTGAGTACGAAGATATGCAACATTCTTTAAGTGCTGCTGCACAAACTGATGTAACGATGTCACACATTGCTGAACTGCAAGATGAAATTGGCTTCCTAAAAGAACTTGAATCTAAACTGAGAAATGACGTAAAGAGTCTGATGGACGAGAGTAACCAACGTGAGGTCAACCACTCATTTAAAATCTCAGATATACGATGCCATAATGATTCTACTATAAAAGAGCTTCAGGATCAAATGGCTGAACTGGAATGCCAAAACGAAATCTGGATTATGAAAAAGGACGACGAAATCAGAAAATTGCAACAACTAATTACAAACCCGAAGCAGGCTGGCACTTAACCAGAACCACCTGTGCAGGAAGACGTTGCATTTTATAGGGAGCAAGTTGAGTTCTCCCAGAACATGTACAAAAATGAGATAATAGGTGGAGAGTTACGTATAAACCATAGAGAAAATCTTCAGGCAGTTAAACTAGAAATATGTCTACCCTTGTTTAGTGTTTACGATTATTGCAGGGTTTGGACAAAGTTTAGGGCTGATCCCAGTGCTCACAGTGTACAATTTTCAGCTAATAAATCTTGAATTCTGAGGTAACAAAATCAACTAGAACTCTGAAAAAGTGATTTATCAGAAATCATGCCCTTACTTCCATGATAAGAGGGATTCGTAAAAATTATAAGCAGGTTGTGGCTTATTATCTAGTAAAAGATACAAGAATCCCAGATCTGAAAACGATTATTGTTCATGTGATCACAAACTAGCAGCGACTTGGTTTGTGCGTTGTTGGCACTATTTCTAATCAGGGCGCAACGATCAAAAACGCACTTGAGACGATTTGCTCGGAGAATACTCACGGATCAAGTCCATTCCATTTTATAGTCAATGCTCAGAGTATTTCTACAATTTGTGATGAACCACATTTATTCAAAAATGGATGAAATGCTCTTATTGACATTAATATGAAAGTGAAGAAGCTGCACAGATTGAACATGTCTAGAATCATTAATGTTG